GGGGAGAAGGGGATTAAGGGGCATGATGATTAGCACACATAATGTTGGGGGGCGCATGAGGAAGGCAGCATAGCACAGAGAAGAGAAGTAGTGACTCTATAGCATCTTACTATGCTGATGGATAGTGATTGTAATGGGGTAGGTGGTGGGGACTGGATACTGGGGGAATCTGGTAACCAAAATGCTGTTCATGTGACTGTATATTAATGATACCATAAAAAAAGAAAAAAGAAGAATGGCTGCTGTCATAGAGCCACAGAGATGCAAAGGCCCTGTGGTCACCTGGAGAAGAGGAGGATGCTGGGTACCCAGGTAATCCTCCGCTTGTCTCCAAAAGCTAGACAGTGGATTTACACTGCCTCAGACTATCAGAGTATCCCCGTCTGCCTCTCCCTACCCTCTCTTTCTCCTTCCTTCCTTCCTGAGCTGGGTTTGCACCCTGATTTTTCTCCTTCCCACTGAGCCCCGGCTCCAGAGGCACACAGAGGACTTGGTCCTAGCTCTGCCACCAACTTGCTGGTGGGCCAGAGCACGTCATCCCTTTATCCCCTGAGCCTTCATTTCCTCAGCTGTTAAAAGGGGACACCATTTGTGCCCCAAACAGGTTTTGCCCTCCTGTTTCTGACTCGTGCCTCCTAAGCGATCAGCCTGACTTGTCCAAACCGCTTTTCCCACTCAGCTTTTTATGCACCTTTAAACAGTGGATTTCTCCATGTTTCAATGAAGTATTCACTTTTAATACTTGATTTGGGGAGCATAACATTTAGAATTTAGTCCTCAGGGTTCTAGCCTGCCTAGCTGGCACTATTTTAAATTGAGAGTTCTGAGTTACTGCTGACTGTTTGCTGAGGGCAGTGTTCCCTCCATTCGCTGATCTCCTGAGGAAATCATGCTGTTATTTGAAGTCAGCAGCATTCACAACAAAGCCCGTCTTATAAATCATGCCAAGCGGGGTTCCAGATTCCTCCAGGTGCAGCTTCCAATTGGTCTGGCCTTGTTGGAAGAAATGGGGGCAAAGTAGTGAACCTGACTTTCTGCTGACCGGCGCCTCTTTCTTCCCCTTCCCACTTCTCCCTCCGTGCAGCTAGAATCCTGCTCTCTCACCTGCCCTCGTGTCCACCGGAACAGGACAAGTCCAGCCATCACCCGCAGGTCCCTGCAGAAGAGAGATGGGGAAATGCTGGATTAATGACAGTTTAATGGGTTTGTTTATCTCGGTGCATCTTGAGCTCTTAGTCTGCTCCAAGCCCCAGCAAGGAAGTTTCCCAAACCTGCTTGAGCAGAGAACCCCTTTTACAAGGTACATCTGGGGGAATGAATGTTCTATGGAACGTCTGCTGAGAAATGCTATTTGAACTGTGACCCATCTTATTAAGGTGCGCTCCCGTCAGCCTCTTATACGTAAGTCTTTTCTGTCAGCTGCCTTTGCTTTTATGTTATTATTATTATTTTTTTGACCTGAGTCTCGGTAGTGGCGTTTCAATGGCTTTTGTTGGTGTGCTTTTAAGTTTTTAAAGAGCTTCTGCATCACTTCTTTCAATTCACTCTCCCAACAATCCTGTGAGACAAACACTCTTTCCAGAATTTACAGATGGAGGAGACTGGGGTTAGGGAGGGTGTCCTGGTCCCAGGTCTCCCCTGTGGGAGGCCTAGTTGCTGGCTGGGCATGTCTGATGACCCTCCCAGATAAGGAAATGGGCACGTGTTAGGGAGTATCTTGGAGAATGTCCTCGTGGCCCAGGCTGCTGCAGCAACATACCACAGGCAGATGGCTCAACAGCAGGAATGCACCTCTCAGAGTTCTGGAGGCTGGAAGGCTAAGATGGAGGTGCTGGCAGACCTGGTTCTTGCGGAGGGAGGGCCCTCCTCCCGGCTGATCCCTCCTTGCTGTGTCTTCAAGCAGCAGAGAGGAAGCTCAGGCATCTCGTCCCCTTCTCATCAGGGCACTGACCCCCTGGCGCAGGCCCCTCCTTCATGACGTCCTCTAACCCTGACCACCCCCTATACCACCGCACTGGCGTTAGGGCCGTGACCTAGGGATTTGGGATGCTCATGCCTGGCATCTGA